TTTTGATAAATAAATAATAATTAATTTTTTTAATAATATATTATATTTTATCACATATTTTGTCATATTTTATTATATTTATCTTAATTTCAATTTATAAAAAGCTTATTTTTAATTTTTAATTTTTAAAAAACTCAACCAAAACTAAACCAAAATATATTCAGTTAATATTAAAATCAAAAAAATAAAAATAAAAAACCATTAAAACCAAATCAAATTTATTTTTTTGGTTTGATTTTCAAATAATCCATGGATTCGGTTTAAAATGCCCAGCCTTAACTTTTCCTCCCGAGAGCACTTCCATAAAAAACTTTGTAACAACTTACAAGGACACTCTCGCGCATTTCGCAAATAAAAATTCCACAATGAAGGTACTACAAAGCAAAGGGTAAGAATGTCGGTGGTTTAACACTTTAAATTGTTCACAGTAGTTGGGTTTACACACTACATGTTGTGTATATTCTTAAACATTGATAAGAGTTGGAGTATTGATCCCTTATGGTTTCTATTAATATATTATGTGACCATTTAGAAAAATAATAATTCTACAATATATTCCCTCACACAAAATTTTTATCACAAACTCTAGTTATGCTAAACAAGTAGTTTAACTTAAAATTAACTAAATTAATATTCACCGACAAAAAACTCGCCTTGTGATGATAAATGAAACAACATGCATTACAATTGACATTACAATGAACGCAGTAGGATAATCCCACCCATCATAATAGGCCTGAGAAATGAAAAGATAAAAGTAATCCATAATAGAGGAATAAAACACAAAGTTCATATAGCGAGTTTGAAGATCAACCCTGGTGAGGGGTAGACCAACCCTGGTGGTGGGTAGTAAATCATTAGGTGCGTGCCTTTGGTACCGGAACAGAGAACTCCAAAAATAAAACCGACCACCGAGATTTATGTAGATGCATATTACAAGAAGTAAAATGCTTCCATCGCCACCAGCTGGCCTAGAGATGCGTCGAGTAACGAAGGACCAGGTGTCTGGGAGAGGAGCAATCATAGTGGCGCTTCCTATGATATTAATATATGTAGAGAGCCGTGGCAGATCTTCCTCAAAATCCAACCAGTGCTTATCTAACCAACTCTTGAAACCAATCATCACAAAACAGATACAGGAAATTATCCAGGTAGGGTACTTCAATCCGAAGTGGCTGTAAGTCATGGATCCAACAACTCCTAGCATGAGTCCAAAGAAGCCTATGTCTATTCGTGGGCGTAACACCACGTGCAGACTTAGAATAAAAACAGCCATACAGAATGCAGCACCAATGTTCCTCAAGGAATTATCATAAAAGTTTTCAAAACAAATTGCTAGAAAAAAGCAAGTGGAGTTCAGTGTTGAATTTGACGTGCAGCCCCACCTCCGAGAGAGGATTTCGAGTGTTTTACTCCAATAATAGGAAAATGTTAGCAGGCTCAGGCAAATAGAGATGAAACATACCGTGATTACTCCTGTTTTATCATATTTAAAACGTAACTCTGATTCTTGCAGAAAAAACGTTGTGGATAACAAGGCAAGTTTGCCGACCAGCTTGGCCTTCGGTTGACCCATTTCCGCGTCAATGGCGAGATGCATCTCAAGAGCTTCCGACGCATTTCTCATCTTACTGGCAATCCGATCCCGCACAACTCTCACCTTCGACAGCAAATACAGCATGAGATCTTCCCATGCATCACTCATCTTCTCTACAACCGGATCCAACAGAGGTCTCATCGTTGACTGCCAATACAACAGGACGGTTTTCTGTATTTTGCTCATCACCCAAACAATCCAACCCCAAAGAGGTCTTAGCACTAGATGATTCACCTTTTCTGTAATCGCATTGAACAGGAGCATTACTCCGGCGATATAAGGCACTGAGAATGATGGAAAAAACACTAGAACCATCCGCATCAATATACTTCCATTTGAATCTAGCAAATCTCGCAATCGGCGCAAAGAAATTGCCATAGTCAATCGCACCGATTTCTTCTCTTACAATACAAATTAATTCTTGATCATCGTCTCTTTTATGTATATATAAAGAAAGGGAATTACATAGAGTTGTAGTCCCTTAATTGCCTGGTGGTTTCCCCCTCTGTTGTTTTCAATCACTTTCACTTTTTTTCAACATCAAACGCGGTAATTTAAATCTGGGTCTGTCAGTAAAGCACAGATTAATAATCTATTAATTATATATTTTTTAATTTATATAAAAATTAAA